GCGGGGCCGGAGGGGCGAGGGAGATGCGTGAAGGGTCCTAGGCGCGGGTGGCGGAGAGAGAAGGGAGACACGACCATTGTTGAACGTCCGGCGGCGCCAGCCACTAGCCATCACGGCTACTACCACCGTGACACCGTCACACACCACTACCAATCCGCCGACGACACCACCGTCCTCTCGTGTATGCCCAATGGTTCACGGGCTCGGCACCGTGCACCGGCAACCTGTACACCATGATTCCGGCTACGGTTTTCTGTGTATGTGCGTGTACTCTGCGTATCTACTACGTATACTCGTGGTGCCAGCTTCGTCCGAGGAGACTCTTGCCTTCTTGACTCTCGTGTGCTCGCGCGTACACGTTGTTCCGGCTTTGTCTCTCGCACGCTAGTTGGTCCGTTCTCTGTCCAGCGCGCTCGTGACTCTGGTTACTCGGAGTCTCGTTACCGGTCGGGACAAGAATCCACCCGATGTCCGGCGCTATGGACACAGAACGAAGGGAGCCCTTTATTATGCTGTGCCACGGAACGAGTCCCCCGAGAGATCCGGACGAAATTGCGTTCGGAGCGGAGAGAATGGAGCCAAGGTGGCGAACGATTCCTATTAGGTCGAGTAACAGTATGCTCGTTTCGATTTGGTTTTTAAGGCTCAATGACGCCATGTGGGCACCGTGGCCGCCTATCGGGGATCAGGCTGAGAGATTAGTATGTATGCACGGTGACTCGCGTTAATATTTAAACGCGTTCACGTGCGAGAGATTACTGTCGTTGTGTGTTTTTGTTTGTGGTAATGGTTATGGATTGTTTGTTTTTTAATGTATCGGAACGTTGGGTGTGGAAGTATACACTCTGCTTATTCAATGGCACACGTTTCTGGTACAAGTAGTCGATAATAGTAAAGCGATTATGATTTATTAATCGTAATTTTATATGATAAGTGAATGATAATCGAATTTTAGCAGAAATATTTGGATGCAAATGTTATCATATATTTTTTACAAAACGTGTATATATTTTAACAATGTTTTAAAATTTTTTATTTGCTCAATAAACGTTTAGATATATTAAAAGAACTTTTTTTATAGTATAAGTAATGCGATTCAATTTTTCTATCAAACATTGCTTTAATACTGTTATATATTTCTATGAATATTTTAGCATTAATTCTTTCAATATTTTCAAGGCAATTTTATATATAAACGACATTTCGACAATTGTTAATTTATGCTTTAAATCTTTTTTGTTTGCCCTATTTAAATATGAAACTGTTAGATATGATCGCATTAAGATTTTAAAACATTTAAATATTTCTTTTTATTTATGATGCTAGCGATAAAAACTATATATACTTATGCATAATTCACCTACTTCTGCAAGTGAGATACAATCACACGCTATTATATTTCTGGTATCGTTATGTTAATTTTATGTTTTTAATTTAGAATAAAATTTGGTTTTTTAACATTAATATTTGATTTTTATAAATATATTTTTTAGTAAAAATCAATACCTACTTTTTACCTAGTACCTACTAGGTACTTCTGTCTCTTTACCTTTCTTTCTCTACTCATATACTCATCTTTTGTCAACCACACTGGCTTCTCACTTTGCTCATGTAACTATCCCTCTCCTTATTGGCCATCCTCGCATTTTTCTCTTCCTTTCCACTGAGTTCTCCCTAAAATCTATCTACTTTGCTTTGTCAGACACTACCTGAGTAGGTATATTATATAGGTGCGTGGGAACGTTCTATTGCTTTTCTTTAGTTGGTTTTCAGCTTATCCTTCATTAACAGAAAAGTCTCGAATTAATACAATGCTTGATGCAAAGGTTTTAACGCTTTTTTTATAAGAAATAAAAAGAAGAGTTTTAAAAATATTTTTATTGATTTAATCTGTTATGTAATTTCCATTGGTTGTTATT